TTTAATTAAGTTTGTAGTGCGTATCTATTCTGTCAATTTTGTTGCACAAACTTCGAGACGTAAATTAATCTACAATTTTAGTTACTTGGTTTTTCAGCGACACAAAATCTTGCCAAAGAGATATTTAGATTGAAATTTCCGTTTTACTATCCAAGCGCAGCCAGGATGAAAAAAACTGCAGTTGCCAATTTTGTATGGTTTTGGAGAAAACTTACTTCAAACTTCGTCGGTTACTTAAGCCTGATGTAAGGCATCGAGTATATAACGAGAAATAGAGAAGAAATGTCATTTAATTTGTTTGAAAATTATTCTGCCAAATCATTGCGATGACAACTGCGCTCCGATTGGCCAGCCCAAATTCGAAACAATTGACGAGTGTCATCGAATTTAATTACCGAAGAAATGTGATTCCGTTTGTTTTGTAATTAGATATTTTTCCCACACCATCGAAGGGAACAGCCCCCGATAGTTAGAGATATTATCTTTATTACAATAAATACAGAATAATTTTGGAATATACGGAGACGTACACTGGTCAGTTGCTGGCGCTGTACTATGTCAGTTTTCTAGTTTGTGATCTCAGGGGAAACGAGAGTTGATATTTAAAAGTGACATAAGGCCCATTTGCCTGATTAGTTGCCTGGGATGAATGGCCCTTATTTCGTCTCTATTTCTGAGTATGTACTCGATGATGTAAGGCATCGAGTATATGTAAGGCCTTGGACATCTCGGTTGTAGTTAAGTTAGGTAACATTTTACACGCGCCGCGCGGACAACGCTATGTACCAATTGGACTTAAAAGGACTGCTAACCTCTATACAACAGATCGTAACTGATAAAGGTCATTTTTGTTTTTGATAGATTACCATTGATTACGAGTTAAAATTATTATCAGAACTTTGACAAATACGCGTGTCAATAGATGGCATTGTGCGTTAGAAACTAATTTATAAATTAACGCTTCCTAATATGGATAGATGGCGATAATCCTAAACAAAACAAAAGGTCACGAATACGGAACCTTTCAGACGTCGAAACCGCATGATTGGTTTATTTCTGCTACTTTCACAGTCTAATACATAGGGCATTTTGTTTTGCCTTAATGCCGCCGGTTAGGGCAATTTATAATCTGGACCCCAGAGCATCTTCGAGAGACAAGTTTAAGGAAACATTCTTACACTAGCGTCAGTACATTTATGAAAATGTAATTTATGTTAAGAAGTGAAAAAAAAAATTGTGACAGACATAACATTAATACGAGGAATGAAAATAAAGTAGCTGTTCTTGATAGTCGTCTTTACATAGTCATAGATTCCTTTAAGTAATGTATACGCTTCTATATCATTGACTTACAATTATATGGACGTCGGGTCCGCGCTAAAAAGTGTCCGAACTTATAGGGCGTTAAAATCGTATACAGAGCGTCATTCACGCTTTAGTCTTCGTTTGTTCGACTGACAGCGAAGCAAGCAAAATTAGACAGTACCGCGATGACATTACAATTTAAATTCAACGTTTTAGCTTTTTCATATTCCTTTCCATGTCACTACGTTTAAATAGGTTGACTTGGGGCATTTTTTTCGTGGTTTTTGTATTAGATCCGTCGTCCATATAATTGTAAGTCAATGTTCTATAACAAGATTCCGGTTGATCGGTTATACTAAAGGTTATTATACAACTTCTGCGTACTTGGATGACAAAAATCTGTGGTAGTAACCCGTTTAGCTCATGGACCTCCATGAGCTTTTCAAACATCTACCTACAGACTACCTAGTCTCGATCTCCGATGTTTGAAAACAAAACAAAAAAATATTGTATATAGAATCTGCCTAACGAATGAGCGGTAGAGTTTAACCAACGTGACGATTTCAAGTGTAATAATGCTTATCTATGAAATAAGGATTATTTTGATTTTAATTTGAATAGCTGGCGCTATCTATAAAATCTGTACAATAAGCGCCATCTAGTTGATTTGTTGGTTATCATTAGAAATTAGAGTACCTTTGATAAAATGCAGTCAATGTAAAATAAATTAGTTACAAAAATAGCTATTTGGTACTCATCGCGACATCTGGTGTATAAACTAGGTACTAAATACCCGTATACGCTGTCTTGTATCATTAGCAGTCCTCGGAATGATTGTCTATAGTTTTAGCTTGAGATTTGCAAAACAAAATTGACCAATAACGTGTATACAACAATTCCTATACAACATTGTGGTACTAATTGGACGGTTAGTAAATATTTCCACATTTTGTTAAATATATTCGGGTGTTTGATTAACAATTGATAATTTATCTAAGTGCCGACATACACTAGCGATTTTAAGGTGTAATTAATATTAGCGTAAACTCGAAAATCCTTTCAATCCGCTGCAAAGTAAATATCCTGAACCTACTACTTGGGAACAGAGCACCGTATGTTTTTTTTTATAATATTAAGTAACGGGATGAACAAGACAGTAAGCCACACGTCTGTCCATAACAATTGCAGTGCCACTGAGAGCTTAAATCGTGAAGATCTGCGCCCGTCACCCTGAGACATAAGTTGTCAATTCCCCATGTAGGCACAGTAATTTCAACAGCACCCTTACCCTTCAAAACCGGAACATAGTAATGTTGACACTACTGCTTGGCGGCAGAAATATGTAAGGTAGCAGTACTTCCCTGAGCGACCTCTTCTGTGATGTTGTCTAATATTTATTTATTTATAATTATTATTTTTATTACAAGTTTTCCTGGTATTATTTAAAGTTTAAGGCTCTCTTAAACTTTAAAATATTTTATGGTAACTTTGAAAAAAAAAACCATTTCCATTATGTGACCTGTACTCGGCGTTGGAACATGCTTAATTTTAGAAATATTTCGGCATTTAACATCGCTAATTTAAAAACGACTCTAACAATGAGCACCTATTACACGTTTATTTTACATATCTCCTTCATTTATTTACACTATGTACAAATTGGACTTTGGTATTATATATTTTGTTTTTTGGGACGATATAGGGAAATTACTAACTTACCTATGATATGAGCCGAGTCACTAGTTTTATACACAGTTACTAGTGACCAATAGTAAATATAGTAGCAAATGTGATAAAATACATTGCATGTATCAAAATTAGAGTTATTAAAGCCCTCAGCGTTCGGCTTCGGGTTTCTAATACATCTTCGTTAATAATTCCTTATTTACCGGCGCTATTTAGGCGTTACTTTGCGTATATCCATATTAATAAAAATGTAAGTAAGCTTGTATTTTTTTCAATTTGTCATTACTATACGCCGCGCCAGAGCCGCTTCTCTGGTACTCCTAGGAAATTTCCTAGTTCGAAGCCAGGTAGCCCGTGTGGCCGTCTGACACTTTATTAATGTTATTAGTAACGCCAGATAGTTTATGCCTGAGCTCGCATCTCCTCTTCCTTTCCCATCCCAATTCGTGCAACGCCAAAGCCGCATCAACAGCCAGTGCTTCAAAAATTCCGTATCATTTAATTTTGACGGCCTCCGTGGTCGAGTGGCTTGGCACACCGGTTTTTTGGTGTCGCCATCTCTGAGGTCCCGGGTTCGATCCCCGGCCGGGTAAATGTAGAAACTAACTTTTCTATATTGTCTCGGGTCTGGGTGTTTGTGGTACCGTCGTTGATTCCGATTACCATAACACAAGTGCTTTAGCTACTTACTTTGGGATCAGAGCAACGTATGTCATGTTTTCTAATATTTATTTATTTATTCATTGAGCTGTGTACGCAAGTTTTTTCATGGTGGCGTTATTGGTAGTCGGTCGCATGTAACGATGTGATGCAGTACGAGCCTATCGGCATTCTGGATATTAAGGTTGGTGGTAGCACGGCTTCCCTTCGTTTTACTTTGCGAGCTCACCTATCCCGCAACTGTCCACGATCCATCGACGGTTTATGTTTTTTTCTTATTTCAGCTTCACCAGTTATTATCATAAAGTATATACTATTCTATACTTCGTTTCAATCCATTTAAACAAAAAGTAAACAAACTAGTCACGGATCCGACCATAGACGGTTTAGTGATGGCCAATTGTAATGCCAACTACAAATTGATTATTTAATTCAATTAATTCATACTAGCAGTTTTCGTTACATAACCTATAAAAGCATATTTAAAATTTTCGAAATCTTAATTTTAAATCCTCCTTCAAATCCTTACACTTAGATACTCGTTCAATTGCGATTGAAATATTCAATTTACAAATCGATTACACAACCTTTAATTGAATGAACCGAATGTTTTTTTCGTACAACGCTAAGCACCATAGACAAATCATAGTTGTATAGTTGAAAAATAACCTTACTTTTGGACTACCATTTTTCAAATACGGTTTTACGATGCTTTTCAAATGAATATTGTTGGAAAAAGTGATATCAAGTCGAAGTTTTCGAAAAATACGTGAAATTGTTACTTGTGTCGATTTATTGAGTGATTCATTTACAATTGTAATAAGACAGTTTTGTTTACTTTTTGTTCAAAATGGATTGAAACAGATTTTAGTTAGTTATCATGTAAAATTTTAAGATCGTTACTTCATCTCGCAGTTAATTTACTTAACTGCTAAATACAATAAGAGTGTAGGAACATACAGTTTTATATGGCAAAAAGAATTTTATAAAAATATACTATAATGGTTAAGAGAGTTTTTTAAATATGATTTAATCAATTATTTTAATTAAAATTAGTTTCTTGCTTTAAAATTAGTTAATAAATTGATTTGCAGTGTTTATGGTTTTTTTTAATTCTTTCCGTTAAAAGGCAAAGGTTTAAAACCATACTGCTGTATAAGTAAGTCTTAGTGAATTTTTCTTTTACTAGATTTTTTTATGATTCCAAGTAAAGGAAGAATAAGTAATGCGCCTGGTGGTAAGCGAAACGTCTGCCTATAGCAGTTGCAGTGCCACTCAGAGCTTTAAAATCGCAAATACTTGAGGGGCACTGCCACCGCGCTCGTTACCCTTTGACATAAGTTGACAAGTCCCATGTGCCTGAAATTTCATCTAAACCTGTAGTTTTAGGAAGAAGTCTGTATTATACTACTAGATCTTAGCTTAAAATTTTCCTTCAATAATTTAAAACCCTAAAGCCAAGCCTGGTATAACAATGTCCCAAATTGACATAGAAAAGGTTCAGAAACGTATATTCTTAAATTTATTTTTAATTTTTACAACTTCCAGTTATGGTTTAGGCAATTAAAAAAAACTGCATACCCTGGTGTTATTAAAAAAGTTAGGCCATATTGCCTATATTTCTAGGGCACTAGAGAGTACTAAGTTATTAAACCTAGATTTAGGACTTTGCAGGCCTAGTTGAGGCGTATGTTAGGGAAACCTAATGACTGTGGTACCAATGGCGTCGTCGCTGCAGGCGTGCGCGAGGGCATTTTCGAATTCTTGTGGTAGATATACCTGTGAAAATAATTTTCAATTAAATTCAATACTTACTACTAAGTATCAAACGTTAGTAAGTAAGTTAGTAAGGTAAACGTTAGTAAGTAAACGTTATTAAATAAACGTTAGTAAGTAAACGTTAGTAAGTAAACGTTAGTAAGTAAACGTTAGTAAGTAACAAATGTTAAGAGTGGTGTACTATACGTGTTCTATTTAGTTCAGTTGATATAAAAAAAAAATCATTAGTATATGTAGGAGTAATTATTGAATACAGCGGTTTTCTTATAAAATTTCATGGTAAATTTGTTTTTTTTATATCATGAAAGTTTTTAAGAATCGTCTTTTCACACCGTATGGTAATCAATGTCTATCCTCTTAGAGGTGAAACATTTTCTTCAATTTTTTCAGTTGGTTAAAAAGAATTTTACGCCGCACAAGGTAAAGATTAGGTTTGTTTAATACCTTTTCTCCACATTTGGATTTGGTCAGATATCTTGTGCGCACCCCTCTTGGAGGAATGGCATAAATGGAACTACGTCAAAAATGTTTATTGCTCCATTAATTATATCGACAATATTAGTTGATAGAGTTACAAGAACTGAAGAGGATCTAATGAAGCAATAAAAATTTTTTACGTAAGTCCACTTATGCCATTCTTCCATGAGCGGTGAGTTGTGTTAATGAAAGAATGGAACAGTCGTCCTTTCAATTGAGAAGCTATAGTTCTCCCACTGAGTACTACAATTCTATATTAACTAAACATGAACATGGAAAGGGTCGACAATCCCTACCTTGTCCAGGACGGGTCCGATGGTGCCCGAGTCCACTAGACTCGTGAGGGTGGCCAGCCCGTCCCGCAGCCGGTACTTGTCCTCCAGCCAGTCGGTGTGCGTGCCGGACCCCACCAGCCACTGCCACGGGAGCACCATTATCATTTATTTATTTAGGAAACTATTTAGTCTGTCTTTTTAACGGAGTAAAATGACAATTGTAGGGTTGCCAGTTTTCATAAAATTTTAAACAGTTATGTAGTAATTGTCGATAGTTTTATCGATAGATTGTGGAAGATAAAATTTTGCCAAAAATGACTGAATTGCCAATTGCGTTATTGCCTTCTTTATTCTTATTTTGACAATTGGCCTACTAGTAATGAGACCAATTTATATTCCCATACATTTTAACAAGTATAACCGGATTTGATTATCTATGTTGAATTAAAATTAAAAACGTCTCCTCTTTGTATATTTCAAAAACTTAGTTTTAAATACAGTGTACGTATGTATTAACTTACAAAAAATTGACAATTCAAATGAACTTGTGCTAAAGTAAACGCCTAAAGGAGTGCGATGTCCTCGCGATTCGGCAACTGTTTATCGAACAAATAATTTTGAAAAAGCGCTCAATTACCCCATTTGATTCCGTTACTTTAACCAACCACAGGCGACTCGATACCTTTTCATCTCGTGCACAACGCAGCACAGTACACTCGCATAGATTCTTTTGCTTTCTTGGTACATTCCTTTACTTTAAATTAAATTCTAACTTGCATTATTTCGCCTTGAATAAAATAGAATGTAAACGGACCATCAAATTGTGGCTTAAGAGTAAAAACTTACAATGAAACAGAAGACTTGCTGGAAGTTGTTTCATTATTATTTTTAGTTAAGTACCCATTAATTTATAACTACTAATGTAACAAAATCACAAAACAGGCAACAACTCATATTAGTTCCGTCACGCATCGCTAGATGGCATTGGCGTCGAAATAGCAAATTCTGCATCGCGGTGCTAAGATTTTCCCTCGCGGAATGACTACTGACGGCGATGCAAACATGAAGGTAATCCAACTTACGACGCATCTAGCTCTGCTTCCTTGTTTGGAACTCCGCTTTAGATCGTTACCGTTGAACCTACTGCACTGTGCTACGCTTCTAGCGCTGCTTCCTATTTGGAACTCCGCTTTAGAACGTAACACGTAGTTGTTGCACCCTGAGCCGCTTCCTAATTGGAACGTGCGTACGGGTCCTCGACTACGTGCCGATTAGGGGGAGTCCTTTCCCACTATACCACCGACGTTGTACATACATGAGTGTGTGCGTTATTATTATACACTAATTATTTTAGTGTTACATATTTCTGCCGCTAAGCAGTAATGTAAAGTGAGCATTACTGCGTTCCGGTTGGAAGAGTGACGGTAAAATTACAGGCACACGGGACTTGTTAACTTATATCAAGATAACCTGCACGAGCTAAAATCTAAAATATTGTTAAATAAGAACTGTCACTTACCCTTAAAAACCGAAAGGTGTAGAAGGAAGCTGCAAAGACGAAGGCAAACGGCGTCGGCAAACGGTCTGATAACAATGGCTTCGGCCTTAAATCTAGTATTGCGTTACGGGGTGCAGTCGATCTGAAAATTGTAGAGTAGTTTTTAAACATAAAAACCATTTGGTTATTCCTTTCGGCAGAGGTTTTGTGGCAAAAAAAGAATTATAAATTCGCATAATAATTTTTCGTATAATAATTGTTAACGACCAGCTGTGACGCAGCCTCCTTCGTATACTTCGTTTCAATCCATATTAAACAAAAAGTAAACAATCAAGTCACTGACCCGACCACAGACGGTTTAGTGATGGCCAATTTTACTGCCAACTACAAATCGATTAATTAAATGAATGAATCTAATTGCTTAATTCAGTCTAATCCTAATTCATACTAGCGGTTTTCATTACATAACCCATAAAAGAAAATTTAAAATTTCCGAAATTTTATACGATTTTATGATGTTACTCAAGTGAATATTGTTGGAAAAAGAGATACCAAGTGAAAATCTTCGAAATATGCGTGAAAGTGTTATTTATTCGATTTATTGAGTGATTACTTTAGAAATTCAACGAAACCGTTTTGATTACATAGGAAAAACTATTTTTCCGGATTTAAATCGCGTATATTTGTTTTTTCAAACAAACCGACGTTTCGGGCCCTTTACAGGTCCCATGGTCACGGTTGACTGAGGTGGTACAGTCTTCAACCAGTTATGTCTAATATTAATGCAAACCACCCTATTTTTTTCCAATAGTTACAATAGTTATTAATTAAATACCTTATTTTTAATTTTACAAAGAAAACATTCCAATTTACGCTACATTAAGTTTTACAAATTATTTTATTGAATGAATTTTTATTAGGTTTAATTTATTATTAATTATTAATAGAAATTAGAATAAACTAAAACATATTAATTAGTACTGCAGTCTTATGTCTGTTTGGGATTTTTCATTAGAGGAAATACTGGATCCCAAACTGGGGGTACGGAGAAACCATCTTCCCTGTTGAAATTAGGATGTTTTTTAATTTCAATGGCCTCTCGCAGCATCCTGGGTAGATAACGGACTTCTTTTGCAAGGACCTGGGGTTTGTCAAACTTCATTGAATGTCTAGGTTTATCCATGACATGCAAACTGTAGCCTTGTTTACGCCACAGTGTTTGACATCAGCTATATGCTCTTTGACGCGAGTACAAATACTTCGCTTCGTTTGTCCAATATAAGAGAGACCGCACTCACAGTCAAGCTTGTAAACTCCTGCATCCTGTAAGGGGATGTTACATTTCACGGGTCT